GCCGCGGGAGCGGGTTTCGCGCCACGTTCTGCGCCTCCTTGGTACAACACGGAGACCCCCGCCCTGCCCGCTGCTGCCTCAGGCGCTCGGGGTCCCCTGCGAGCAGCCAGAAGCGGGGCTAAAGGCTGAGCTCGCTGCCCCGGAGCAGCAGGTTCTAATCACCGTTATCGCAAGCAGAGCCCGGCTTTGCTTGCAGGGACAGCACATCCCTAAAACCCCGGGCATCCCAGCCGTGCTCGTCCCCCACCGGCACATCCCAGGGCACAGGCCGACACCGGGATCCTGCGGCTGCTCCCGCCTCACGGCCGCTCGGCCCCAGCTCCAACAGCTCCCGTCACAGCCCCGCTCCACAGCCGCGTTCCCTGATCCACCCCGGGGCACCTCAGCCCCCCTGGGCGCTGCGGGAAGCTCTTCGGAGACASCAAGGCCTGGCGAAAAATACCACAGCAGGAATTCCTATACAGGAGTAAATTTAATAAAACCACCACCAATTGTTTACTTTAACATAGCTCTTGTTACAGAAATCATAAAAATGGACTCAGTAGCTAACTCATTAGTTCTTTCCCCCTTTTAATTGGAAAAAAAAAAAAAAATCCCCCACTGATTTCAGTTTCTACGGCACTAGCTGGAGTGTTAAGTATTTGCCAGGACAGAACGCCCCAGAATTGAGCCCCAAACAAACACAAAGACAATTCCATCATCTTTCCTTTTTCAACGTTACCACTTGTTATAACGTAAGTGAAACTTAACAGCAAGGAACACTCCGCTGGACAGAGGGAAGGGAGGGAGAGGAGATCCACAGCTGAAATCTTTCAATAGGCTCTTGAGAAGTGGTGGGAAATGGCCCTCCTTTTCCTGCCTCAGAATTAAAAGAAATTAAAGAAAAAATAAGAAATGCCTAAACACACACTTCCTAGAGGTTCAGAGCGCGTGTCCTGTGTGCGTGGGAGCAGCTGAGTTGCGTTTGGGCAGGTAAAAAAAAGGTATCTGGGCAAAAAAAACAAGGCAAAGCCTCCTGAATCACAAGGTACATCTGTCACGAATGCAATGCACGATGGCTTTAGGAGCATGAGGAGCTGGAAGGGAGGAGAGGGGCCCGTTGCCAGCAATGGATACGCACAAAACCACGGAGGGCATGGGCAGAAAGCTGCAGGAAGAGGAGAAACCCAACTTCTCTGGTAACAGCCCTCAAAAAAAGAACCCAAAACAAAACAAACAAAAAAATCCTAAACTAAACAACAAAAAAATCACTACACCGGCACACGCTTCCCCCGCCCCAACCCAGGGAAAAAAACAAAAGAAAAAAAAAATCAAACTGAAAGAAAATGCACAGCAAATAGACATAATCTTGAAGATTTTTAAAGAATAAATATTTTTTTGTAATTAAACATTATGCAAACACGTGCCACGCTTGCTCTTTGTCCATGCATATGCGCTATATACAACTTTGAAAAATACTGTGTTGTCCTCTTTTAGTTTTAAAAGTCATATACAAAGTTTTTTTATTATTATTTATTTATTTTCCTTGCTGTGTGCCCCCCTCCTCCCCTCCCCCAGAAAATCACCTTTACACTGAGCCAATCCACATTCATCCATGTAGTTGGGGGGCAGAGGAGGAGGGGGGAAGGAGGCAGGGACACGTTCCCCCCCCCCGACCCTTACCAAAGTACGTCAAAATGGCTGGTTTGGACATGAAAAGCAGTGTCAAGAAACTGGTTTAAATTTCATCTGTACTACACACAGGAAAAGAAAGATAGAAAAGAAAAAGGAGTCGGCTTGGAGAATGAAGCTACGTTACAAGTTAAAGTTGGAGGGTTTTCTTTTTTTTAGTGCRTCTGTCACACTCTTATTGGCCGCCTAGAATACTGTTGTACAATGGTTTATCTACCTTTTTTTTTTTTTACAATATAATTTACTTAAAGTTTCTGTTAACAAAACAGAATCCCGGTACTACAGACCAGCAGTGTAAGAGGCGTAGTGCCTTGTGTGTGTATTTTGTTTTAATCGCATGAGCACTCTAGATGGGAAAGGTTTCAGAGTTCGTTTTATGCAGCGCCAGCCTCAGTCCTCAATGTACTCCCACAGGTCCTTCTCGTAGCCTTCATGCACATGCTGCAACAAAACCCGTCGTCGACTCTCGCAGTATCTGCAGCAAAAGGGACAACACACACAAGGAAGCAGGTTAGGAGAAGCGCAGCTTATTCTGCACATCAAGGAATGTGAACCTAAATTACGCCTCGCTTTCAAAGGCAGAGATCCCCCGAGAAGGGCTTTGCGCAGCCCGTTAGCAGTGTTAATTAAGACCTCGGTTATTCCAGTCACTAAGTCAAGGTCCCTGGTTGAAAGAAAGTACCACGCAAATCCCGAGGCATTCCCATGCAGCAAGATCCCCAYGGCCCTCAGGGCCACAGAGCTCTCCAATAACCAAAGTAGTAGAGAAAGAGCAGCTGCCATTCGTAAATGCTTGGGGGTGACAGCCCATGTGGGGCTGCTGCGCCCCTGAGAAAYGGGTGAACAAAACGGGACGCCCGTTCGGCCCTGCTCTGCCCAGGACAACGGGCTGCGCTGCGGGGGAACGGGACAGAGCACCGGGGTCTCCGGGCACCTGCATCTGCCACGGGGGCATCCAAGGGGCTCCGCAGCTGCAGCACAGGGGCCTCCTCGCCCCGGAGCCAGATGTGTGGCCAGATGTGCAGGGGAGGAAGCGCTGCAGGACACTGCWGTGCCAGGCTGCCCCTGGCCACCACGCGTGGCCAGGGGTGCGAAAGGCACATCGGCCACCTGAGCTGCACCCGAACCCTGCACATTTGGCATTGCATCAGCTCCACTGCGTATGAGCGAAGCCACCGGGGCTCTCCTGGGCACCACGGGCTGCTGCGACAGAGGCATCGCACACAAAACCCCATTGATTTCACAGAGCATGTGACAGGGAACGTGCGCAGTAACCGCTTTCCCCACCTTCAGTTGTTTGCTGCCGGTGGGGGTTTAATGCTGTTTTCTGGAAACTGCATGAACTTCACAAGCAAAGGCGGCAAAACAGCCGAAAGCCAACAAGCTGAGCCGTGAGCTGCCGCTGTTTCCGCGGGCTTCCTTACAACCCATCTGCCCACCCTGACAGCACTCCCGGTCCTGCTTTTGCACAGTGAGCAGCACATGAAGAGCTCTGCCAGAGCGTGGTTAAGACAGGACTGAACTCGTTCATTAGGGACCTGTGCAGGCTTGACAGACACATGCCGTCCTCCCAGCAACACGCGGGCAGGTTTGGGATATTACATCTCAGGCATTTCAGGCCATATTAGGTTTTATTCGGTCTCGATAGCTGTTACCATCCCTAGAAGGGCATCCAGTTTCACAGGACTTAAGCAAACAGCAAAATGAGCTGAGATGCCAACTTAAGGGCGGTGTAAAAGTTACAAAATGTCTCAAAAGAGCAGGTCCAATAGAGTGGCCCTGTCGCAGCCACGGGACCGCTGCAGGTCACGGCTATTTCCACACCCCAGCAAATCCCTTCACTGCTAAACCTTGTGTTAATTTGGCAGTAGGCTCTTTTCTTTCTCCTCCCCGAGTTAGACATAACAAATTAGTGACTCTGGCAAAATGCCTCAAAAATGCAACCCATAATCCTGTGACTCATCCGTGTTTACAGCTTTGTATTTTTCCACTGTGCAGCAGTGATTCCCTGGGCCTGGAAGACGCACGTGTGGCACACGTGTCACCTGGGCCCCAGTTCTTCAGGTCTCTCCCTSCCTTGAGACCTGGTTGCTCTCTCCCTTCTCCTTCAGCCCAGCTCCTCTCCTATCCCTRCATTTGCCCAGGGGACATGAGTGAATCCTACACATATTGCACTGCTGAAAGAAAACAGCCCGTCGCTGTCTTATGGCAAMACATCCTAGGCCAAAACTGTCCCTTGGGATCAACAAAGTTGCTCCTTGTTCTGCTGCCTTGGTCCAGGCCGCTCCCCGGGGCTCCTTCTGCGTAGGAAGAGCAGTGACCAGAAACAAAAGCTCTTCACACACAACGCTGTTCCGTTACAGGCCCCAAGCTCCTGGTTCCTGCTGAGCAAAGCAGAGGCAGGAGCCTCCATGGAGGCGACCACCCCAAGTGCTGCTCCCACACCTCGTGCTGCAGCATCCGCTCGGGAGCCTCGCCGCGGAGCACGGCAAGGGCCGGCACACGACACCCCCAAGCACACGGGACAGCAACCGCAGCTGCTAGGACAGCTTCGAGAGAGAGGCTTCAGAAACAAACCTGTACTTATCCTGTACTTTCTGCTTTATGTCTTGCAGCGAATCTTGGGATATATCTCGCTCAAGGTACCCAGAAAGCACCTCTGTAGCATTCTCTAAGTCTGCTTGGTTATTCTGTAAAGATAGAGAGCACCAGTTTATCTGTTAATGGCATTTTTGGAAGAGACTTCTCTAATCCAAATGAAAGTTAACATTGAAATAAAAACCAGAGTGAGAACTAAACCCTCATATTTACCCAKTCAAGCAGCCTGCTCTACACATCAGAATCGAAAAATCATCAATTTCTTCATTCGTGCAGCTATGGCAGCCCACACCAACCCTTCTCTTACTCTTTGGAGAGTATGGTACAAGCCAATGTGGTCTTCCATTCTTTTTCTTGCCTGTTTAATTTTTCCCAGCATTAGCAAGGACTTTGCTGGCTCCTTTGCACGCACAGCAGCCCCAGAGCACAGTTGTGACTACTGCTCCGTGGCTGYGAGCACCGGTTGCTGAGCTCACAGCACAGGAGCCCTCTGCTTGCCTTCTACACAGACACTGATGGAGGAGGGTTTTAATCAGAAACAGCCCATACGATTTGACCCAGAAAACAGACTGGACTTGCACGTTTAGACCTTCAAGTGCTCTTTTACAGGGAGAAACGCTGGCTGGGAGGAAGGGGCAATAACCTGGGAATGTGGTTGCGCTTTAATGCATTCTTCCCCAATTTCAAGCCATCAACCTTCCATCTCTTCCTTGTTTCATAATGCACCAGATTTGATTCTGCCTTCTCTCTTCYAGCAGAGAAAGCTGCACAGGGCCTGGCAGGGCCTCTCCCTTCTGCATCACGGGAAAACAGCCTCCCCAAGCATTAAATCCCTACACATCCCTAGCACATTTTCTCCTACCTCAAAGATAATGGACTGATTATTCTTTTTGAGGTAGAAGGCAAAGACGTAAGTGTACATGAGTGTGGCACGACACTGGCAGAGGACGTCGACTGCTTTCTTCAGGAACTGCACCTCGATCCACGACATGTTGTGCTGCTGCATCTCCTCCATCTTCTGCTTCACCTGAGCATAGAGCTTGTGCTCRAAGCGCAGGCTCTGCATGTGGTTCATGTAGCGGTTGCAGTAGAACAGGTACCTCTGCAGGGCTGCTCTGGATCGCTGTGGTAGTCCCCAGCAGTGGAGAAAATGAAAAGAGAACCAAGAGTTAAATCAGAACAGTGACTGCAAGAGAAGCAAACCCTTCACTCGGCTCTTCCTGGCCCTGAGGGGCAGCTTCCTTTCCAGTGCGTTTCCTCTCCTCTCACACTGGAGACATCCAGATGACTCCGCTCTGCACGGTGCTCGTAGCCCTGACACTGCGGGGACCAGAGGCAGCCYCGCTCAGCCCGCTGCCACACGGGAACTCCCACTCCACACTCATCCGCAGCCTTGAAAATGAGCASAATCACCCTACTAACGTCTCACCGGTTTTATTTTCAGCCCTCCATCTCCAATTACAGGACATAAAACCTTCCAGGGTGGTGACAAGCAGTAAGCAGCAGTTTTTTTTTCCTTCCAGCAAATAAGGAATTATAACTAAAAAGTGATTGTGCTTCTATTAACAGAGCAAGCCTTGACTGCCTAGGCCACGCTGCCTCTAGAGCAGGGGAAGGGGCCATGTGTTGAGGAGTACAAGAAAACCAAGATGACTCACTACGCAGCCATTCATCTTATTTTCTTTTCCCTAACAGATGAGCTGAAAAATGTCAGTGTGTGCATGGTTAAACTTGTTCAGCCTGGAAGCACAAGCCCTCAATCCGAGCACACCTGGGACTAAGGGGGTTGCTGRAAGCGCGCTGGGTTTCGGCTCTCGCAGCACTCGGACAAGATGCAGAGCCCGGGTTTCTGCGAGCAGCAGCTCACTGCATGGGATCCCTCTCYATTAAAAGGCTTTTGCCTGTGCTATCCATACTCACTAAACTGCTTAATTCAGCTGCAACTTCACCCACACTTTCTACTCCTATCAGGCTTCCAAGAACAATTATTGGAACAACCAAAGTCTATTAAATTCATATTCAGAAGGTACGTTGTGGAACCTCAGGAACTCATCAAGAACTYTGCAGTAACGAGCAGTTTACACAGRATGTCAGGGCTGTTGCCTCAGACCCACAGCATTACGATGACTTCATGTGATGAGCTGTTACAAAACAGGCAAGGCGGCACGACAGATAACAAYCGAGTTAATGTGTTCTTTAAACCGGATTTTAAGTGACTTTGAACATTTTCTTGGGCACAAGGCAAGAGTCCAAAGCTTCTGGGGCACTTGGCTGCCTTTTGGATTTGTGCCCAAGGCAGGAGATTCCCCAGGGCTCGTTTACGGGTGCATGGAAAGCCCACAAGCCTGCCCCGGGATCCGCGCCCGCCCTTGCCCACCGAAGGTCGAGGACTCACCTCCTGTGCATCCCTTGCTGCCTTTGCATCATCCTCGTTGTAGCGATTGCAGTTGTACCTGCACGGGGACAGCGAATGCAGAGGGTTTAGTGCCAGGGCAGGCAGGGCTTGTCCCCTACGGGCACAGCCCCCAACTCACCAGGCAGATCCGTGGGGCTCCCAGGGGCCCAGGCACACCCAGCAAAACTCAGCTTTACAGTTCTGGTTCCGACAGACCATGTGGTTGCAGCCCCCGTCCTTCTCGATGGTCACGTGGCATTTCGGGCACTCCTGGGAACAGGGCAGGGATTAACGTTAGCAGGGAAAGCCGGGCCCAGTGTGGGGAAAGGGAAGAGCGCGGCACCGAACCACCCCGGAGCCTGGCAGGGCTGCGCCGCAGCAAGGGGCCGCATGCCACGCGAGGGGCATCATCTGCTGCTCTCCTTGATCACCAACATCCTCTTCCAGCTCAGACCTTACAATACGTCCCCAGCTCAGAACAGCGAAACAACCACCAAAAAACCCCATGGAATAACTCAGTTTATGTATGTAGCTGCCGTACCTTGCTAGCGGGAGCCTGGATGAGCAATATTGTGACTTTCTGCAAAACCACAGTCGTGCTGATGGTCCACAATTGCCCAGGGGAAGGCATGGGGCTTTCCTCGAAGACAAGCACTTGGACCCTTTCAACACAAGCGGTAAAAGCCCAACCGTGTGCTGATATCACACGTTATCCATCCGAGACACCTGCCACTGCGAAAACGCCACCCAAAAAGCCACCGAAACCTCAGAGCTGAAGCTCAGCGTGCTGCAAAGAAGCTCCTGTCAGCTCAGACACTTCGGGTATTCCCATGTTTGCTGCCAGGCTCCTCCTGCCCTCCTCATGCAGCACCTCGCTGGGGACTCTCCTACAGGAAGAGTAGGGGCTTCCTCTTTCTCTTTCTCCTCTTTTCTAGGGGATGAGGTCTCTGCCGAGCACCAGGACATGCAAGATGAGCGCTGCTCACAGAGGCTATTCTCCAAAGCTCTCCCTAACACCAACATCATTCTCATACGGCCACAGCGCGTGGCCCCTTCAGAAGATGCCATTCGGCTGGAAACCCCATGCAGAACATCAGAAAACCCRAGTATTCCCCTAGCACCCCAGTAGGCACCAACATTGGGGTGGCAAAAATAGCCTAAGCTGCATCTGCTGGCAAAGGGAACCAGYCCAGTCCCTTGCCCGGGGCACTCCTCCTGTGCCAACAACCCAAAACACCGAGAATATCAAGTGTATTTTAACCCCAGTACTGTGCCAACCCAAGGAGGGGACAAGGAGAGCACCTTGCAAAGCAACTGTGGCTTATACAAATGTGATGTTTCTGCAAAACCTGAGGTTTTATTTACAAGGCGACACTCAACACRAGCCAAAGAGCTGGCAGAGCTCAGCAGTCCTCCCTTGGAAAGCCAGCAGCAGCTCTTGGGCCAGAGCAGCATGAAATCCTGCACCCCAGTCTTGACCTTTCCCTTCACAGAGAAGAAATCGAGAGTACGATGCCCCGCTCCGCCACTCTATACCCATCCACGTCCGCTGAAGATCTACGTGCTCTGCCAGGATRTAACTATTCACTTCTTCATCCTCAAAGTCCCGCTTTGGTCTGGCTCTTTGCCCCTGAAGGAGAAAGGTTAGTGGCTGGACCTGCTGCTCAGGCTCCAAGCAGCAAGCAACAGGCAGGGGATGGCCTGGCCTGGGTCCACTCTGTCCCTCACAGCCTTTGTCCAACCACGGATTTGATAAAGGAAGCAGAGCAGCTCCCTCAAAGGTGCCTCCAGGAGTCACCACCAGTCACAGACACCATCAAAATGTCCCGTTGGGTCCTTTACAGGACAGTCTGTCCAGCTGGGTAAGGCGGGTCCCAAACAGTCAGGCTAGTTTGGTGAATTTGGGGATAAAAACRGTGTCTCCTTGTAATGCAGAGCAGCGACTGCTCTCCTTCCTCATGCAGCCCTGCTCTCCTTGCCCATCCCGCACACAAACATCCCGATTTGTCACATCAAACCCTTTGCAGCTGTGTGGGCAGACCACAGCTTGCTCCGCTCCTCACCTAGGCTGCGCTTTCCATGCCAGACTGCCCGGGCAGCCCGCTCCTGTGCTCTGCTACAGCTCTGCGGTCGCTCAAACACCGATCCTGGGGCGCAGGGTCACCAAGGGCTTTTCCAAGGTGGGAAATTCTGAAATTCAGTCTCTGACTTTCAGTTCCAAGGCTGAAATTCTTCCTTCACGTCTTTAAGGACAAGACTATGCTTTTCGGTGCCTAAATACTGCGCACGAAGCGCTRGGGTGGCAACCAGAACAAGAAGGCGCTAATTGCGGCGAGGGGAAGGCCCTTCTCGGGGAGTTTCTATGCTCTCCTCCAAGCAAGGCAGACAGCTCAGGAAACCATACGGATCCATCACGCTGTGCAAACACACGTACGTATCACCAAAGACTTGGAAAAAGCCACGAGAAGAGCGTATTAAAAAAACGCTGAACACCAACAGGGGGAAAAACCAGCAACTATTCAAACCACTAATGTAATAACTAGGAGGGATTTATAGGTTAAAGAGGACAGGGAAGAAAGATTTTTTTGAGAATTACGACCACGCTAACAACCTCAGAGCCAGCAAATTAAATCCCTGATGGAGTGGATTATTCTGTAGGTTATGTCCCGGTCCCCGGCGCAGAAAGCAGCTTGCGGAYGCTGTGAATACATCCGCGCCGTGCGTGCGCGGCCGCGGCGGGACGCCCTGCCCACACACGGACTCTGCGGCCATCCCGGGRACGCCGGCGCGCTCCAAGAGCATCCCAAGTGCCGTGCCCGGCTCCAGGCACTGCCAGCGGTGACAACGCCTGGATCACTGAGCAGAACAGGGAATTCTGAACCTCTGGAAGGAAAGGCAGCACTTACGTAGCTATTCCCTATTCATGGATCCTGCCCTGAATTGCAGCTAAGTCCTGCAGGAAAGCGGAGGCATTTCTAATATCAAATGAGCAAGTAGCATGAACAGCAGTTTAACTTCAGCAAAAACCCCTGCCGTGGGTGCAGGCGGGCACAGATGAGATCCAAAAACCCCTTTTCTTCTTTCTTTGAGAACCCAAAGATGCGGAGATCAGCGCTGCTGAAACTCAGGCTCAAAACYATTATTTTCATCTTCCTCTCCTTTCAGGCTCCTTTCTGGCAGCCCTAACRCACCTTAAGCAAACTGGAAATAAATACAGACACCCAAGTTGGCTTGGAGGGCTTGGGTGCCCCTACCCCAACCCGGTTAAAGTCTATAGAGCTGAGAGGGGTGTTGGGGTTTCTTTATTCCCCACCAGAAACCCGCCCAGTTTATCCAAAGAGGAAAGGATCAAGTTTCAAACCAGGGATCCACGCTGAGAGAGCAAGCAAAAYAAAATCTAACACAGGGATTTCCCAAGTGCAAGTAAATAAACCTGAAATTATATATACATTTAATACACGGCTGACCACAAAGTCAATACTCAAACCTCATTGTATTTCATTCAGTGCTCTACATAACACAACAAAAAAACCCTATCGCGTCCCTGGTTTGTGAGCAGAAGCCAACGGAGCTGGGTTTCCTTCTCCTAGTCTCTCATGCAGCAACCGCCTCATTTCCCTCGGCTGCTCTGTCACCAAGCAAGTGACAACAAAGGCACCTCACGCTCGCCTGCTGCACAGGGTCACAAGCAGGCAGCGCAGAAGGCCGGCGGCTTCCTCTCARTTCTTGATGCTGGCAAGAGGGCAAGTTTTCTTCCCTGACCACAGGTCCCCGGGACGAGGCTGCAGCCCAGTGTCACACACRGGCCTGGAGAAAGGACTTGGCAGGAGCGGCAACCTGCTGGGAACGGCGGCAGCAACAGAAACGGGGCAGCGGGGACAAATGCAGTACTTGGAGAAGAGGGTTTTTCCTCCACGGATGGGGATTTGAAGCCCCTTCTAGGTGCTCTGGGGCCAGTCAGACACAGTGTAAGGGCTCTGGCTCGCATGCACTGAGGCAAAGAGCAGTGGAGGCCAAAACCCGCCAACCCAAATGCCACTGCCCTGCTGTCGGTCGGGGCGCTGCCCCTCGCCTGTGCCATTCGCAGGCCCCACGGCGCAGCGGGAAGGATATTTCCCCCCAGCCGCCCCGCCGAGCTGCACGGCTGTGTGGTTCCCGTCCGAAGAGCAGTCGGAGCGTGTCAGTGTCAGAGCAGCGCTCGGCTTTCGCGGCGCTCGGCCGGCAGCCAGCGCGCACACGCGGAGGCGGCGGCGGCCGCGCTGCGCCCCCCAGCACGCGTGCTCCCAACACCGGCACCGCTCKCACCTCATCGCCAGAGCAGGGTGAAACCTCGCTGCGCACGGAGGCAGGAGAGCAGCGGGTCACGTTTCCTGCCGCCTTTCCCCTCCGCTGCATAAAGCATCAGCTCCGAGAAGAACAGCAATACTGTCTGTTACTTAAGTCAATTGATACGGTGATTGTAAGACCCCGTGACAGCAGCCTTGCTCAAATGTCTGCTGTAATTACCCTGTTTTTCCTTCTCCTCCTGTTGCTTTTGTGCACTGCGGGCTCCCAAGTGCTTTCCTGCAAGAGAAGCAGCTCCCTCTGCGCTGGAGGCAGTAGCTGAGCCGGGGACGTTCAAGGACAAGGGGTCCCACTCCTGCTGACACGAGACTACAGGGACCAGCAGACGAGCTGGGCCGAGGCCCACGCGGCCACGCCAGGCACGCGCCTCCCACCCGGCATCCTCTGCATGGCTGCTTCCCACAAAACCATCGCGCTCCCGCTGCTCAAGCCCGTTTCCGACAGCCTGAGCTGCGAGCAGCTGCCCAGCCGCTTGCAGGGCTCCTAGCTGAGAGCTTCTAGAGGCCGGGTAAAAGCGGGGTGATCATCTTGGCAACAGCAGCTCGGCCTGAGCTCAAAGCCTTGGCAAGGGAGCTGCCGAAGCCCCCGCGGCCCTGCCTGGAAGAGAAGTTGCCCGGTATTTCCAGGCAGCGATAGCGGCACGTTACCTGTGTTGGATCTACAGCACCACACACGGTTGCATCCCTTCAGCAAGCACAAAACCCAGTAAGGAAGAGCTTAATATCTAACCAGGTCAAAGCCTAGCAAGCCCAGGACAGCCAGAATTAACCAGCATTCCCACGCCGGAGCTCAGACCCTGTCTGCATCCACACCAAGCACACAACAGCGTGGGCCAAAGCACACGGAGAGCCCCAAGGCCGTCACCAATAGCCTAGGGGTGTCGTGGGGCACTGCCAACACACAGGCACTGCCAACAGGCACTGCCAACACATCCTGCACCGCCAGCACAGGCAGCAGGGAGGTGGCAGTTCTGATGTCCCAAGTATTTGGCACCCTCGGCYGAAGGCTGCTTCACATGTGTTTACATCAGCCTTTCCAAACTACTCAGCTCCTCTTCCTCGGGTTTACTCGAGGCGATAGCTGAAGACCAAGCAAACTCTGCACAAATTTGGTCCCGTTCCTGAGCTCCAATACATCCCCGGCCTCAGAGAAAGCCTGGTTAATTTTACTGGGCCTCCGAGCAGAGGCCCCGCAGACCGTGGTCCCCGGAGGCGGCGGCGCGCGGCGTTTCAGCCCGCGCCTCGCRGCACCACGGCTCGTTCTGCCATTCTCCCTAACGCCACGGTCCAGCTCCGTGCAAACCCCGCTGGGAACCCGGCAGCGCCATGAGCCGGTCGCACACGGAGCCAGCAAACACATCCCTAGCACCCCGAGWGCGCTCGGCAGCGGGGGCCGCCGGCTCCCCTCCCACGTGCGCCCCTGTGAGCTTCCTTTGGGATTCCTATGGACTCCTTGCTAGCAGAGCAAGGAAGAGCCCAACCAGCTCCAGGCAGTAGCAGCTCTTTGCACTTAAAACAAGAGCACTGCAGCCTACYGCCCATTTTTATACTCTCCATTAACTAATGGCATGCAAAATCCATGCAAAGATCCCGGTGCCGCATCCTAGTGCCAAGGAATCCGGCTGCCATCCTTCCCACAGGATAGCCTATACAAAACAGGAGGAAAAAGCTCTCACCTTTGTGTTTGCTGCAATCCAATTAGAAGTTTCACTGTCATCATCGCACTTCTTAATCCATTTCTTTAACCACTGTAAGAAAAAAGAATGAAGAGTTGCTTTTAAATATAGGAATGTGGGCTTTAGTTAGTCTCATTAGTTGCACATAAGTGGCATGAAGAGCATTTTCACTTTCAGATAATTAAGGTGTCAACTGTATTCACCTTTAAATGATGAAACTGTTAAGTCAAAAAACAAAGAAAAGAGGAAAGAAAAAAAAAAGTTCTTTGAAGGAGAGGCTAAACAGGAAACAATTGACTAAACTATTTCATAAGACTTCTAACCACAATAGAGGGGCGGGAGATTGGCAAAACGCACCAGTAAGTTTCCATTAATCTAAATCTTGGGAAAACTCAGTCCATTTACATGGTGCATTCCCCGACTGGAGCCACTTGAGATGCACCAAGGCCATCTGGAAATGCCACTGGGGACCACACGTCCCACCTTAGAGGGGGTTTTTCTCTCTAGGGTGAACAGGGCAACATCACATGGACGCAAGCTGCAGAAGCAAAGACTGCCTGCACCTGCTAGATAATAAACCAGCCACATTGCTACGGGAACACCACCACCACCACGCACGGCCTTTGGCAGAGCAGCAGCTCCTAGAACCAGGCCCAAATTCATTATTTCTGCATTAAAATCAAGCTGCTGAAGCTCGATTTTAACACAGAAACCCTGTGGTTACAGCAACACTCTTCCTTTCTGAAGCTACACGGTTCTTCTTTGGAGGTGAACCATGGTCCCCCTTGATGCAAGCAGCCTGGGCCACATTGCTAGGCACCTTGCACCCACAGCTTGACTTAGAAGTCACGGATTTAGATAAGAGCTTGGACGTGCTCACCTTACACTTAACAGGATCATGCCAATTTTCACCACAATTAAAGCTGTAAGCAAAAGAAAAGAGAAATCAGTAAGGTAGATGACTGTAAGTTAAGGACATGGCAGCTCTCTTCTGGGTTCTACCAAAAGTGTGTGGCCATTCCCCACTACAGACCTAAATACACTTCAAATCTCTACAGTGTCTTCAAGGATTCAAGAAGTGYGTCAGGAACCTAATTTGAAACCATCAATTTGGCTATGGGTCCTCTGTCAGCAGAAGCCTCTGTGTCACAGGAGGCCAGGAGACACAGAGAAGGCAACAGGCGCACACTGAAGGTCTCCACAGCCAGCTGCTCCCGACTCCAGCTTTCCATTTTCAATGAAATGCCAGTATTTAGAGATACATTTTCCAAGTCTAGATATTATTTCACACACCGTTGACAAAACACTCAAGAAAACACCACAGTGAAGGTCAGTGTGTGGCACGGGTGCTGTTCGTTGAAGAGCTCTTCAACCATTTCCTCTGGAGAACTTACCAGCTAAAGAAAAGTAAGTCTAGGAGCTTCCTCCCTATTAATAACTGGTTCCCATTRGAGGCGACACCACATGGAAAGGGCTCACTCTACACATTTAGGAGGCGGAGAAGTGTGTCCAGCTGAAGGTCCCAACAAATGTATTTCCTTCTTGCAAAGGCCTCCCCATCCCCACGCTTTCCCCACCATCAAAAGCAACATCCCAATATCAACCTATAAAACACAGACRTATTCAAAGCTGTAAGTGAAAAGCAACACCATGTTCTTTCACTTGACTGCTCTTACCAAAACTGACGCCCACATTTGCAGCGAACAGGCTTAGCATCAGGATACTGGACTTTGACGACGTGGTGGCAGTCTGGGGCAGGACACCATTTTAACAGTCGATTACACTAAAAAATAAAGCAAGAGAAGCCACAATGGCAAAAGATGCTGCACACRGAGTTCGCCCTTCACTCTTACATCCTTTTAATCAGAATCTTCAATAAAACCTAAGGAGACAGAGCGCTCTGTCCTTATTCTAAGGGTTCATTGTCTTATTACTTCAAGGAAGCAGGAACAACAGAATCAACTCTTCAATGTCAAACGGTCTCCCCTGGGAACAGAGGAGCACGAACACTTCTGATGACCCCACAGCTCGTTCACGCAGAGAGAATATATTGGAGTAAGAGGAAGCTACAAAGCTTCCCCCCAAAAAGCAGCAGTTGGCTGCGTACGACCTCAACAGCTCTCTCTGCTCCACCTTGGCCACAGYCCTTCTGAAACATCACTTGCCAGCACGCACCACAAGCAGCTTTTAAAAGCAGCTTTCTCATAGCTCTTGAAGGGCATTTCGTTGCCTGCTCACCTTTTACTGTGACCACATATAGGTCTGAACTGCTAGACTCGTGAGTGCCTTCTGGCCTGCATGAAGTGTTATCTCCAGTGTTTCGCTCCAAACTCTTTTTTGGTGAAGGTTTAATTCCTACCTACTTGTGAGGCTCTACGGTGAGCCTAAATGAGCACAAGAGGGAAGTGGGGACAGTGGATAACCTTCCAAAGCACCTTCTAAGTGCATTTGCATTTTGAAGTCCTGAAGCTATTGGTATTTTGCTAAAGCCAATTTCACAACTTTGTTTCACAAAGCAAACGTTTAAGGCATAACCTTATTTAAAACATTTCCCTGTTTGAGTGTGAAGCATCCCAGGTAACACTCAGGCAAGGGCTGCAAGTATTAAGTGTTGCTCAGAAGTCAGATATCGAGCATCTCCTCCACTGTCATCTCCCACTGTGTCCCATCTCTCTAAGAAATCTCACCCTTTCTTTTGCTTCCAAGAACATAACAGGTCCCCGGGTGCTCTGCATTTTTTTAGCGTTTCCCTGCAGCTACACAAATAATAAATGGGCTATAAAACATCCCCTGCAAAGCCTCTAACTCGTAGTTACATTTGATTATAGACTATGCAAGAGATAATTTGCTCTAAAGTCATAAACAAGCCTCACTTCTCTGGTTTGGTGCCTGCCTAAGAACAGCTCTGGAAGCTATTAAAAATTTCAAATACATACTCACCTCTACAAAACTATTGGTTATTAAATGCTGGTACTTTAATTTAACCTTCGAATCTGTGATCAGACGCCTGTGGAAGAGAAGAATACGGAACAATTATTGTAGTAGAAAAGCCACTTTTTTCCACAAATAGCTAGGAAGTTGAGACAGACAAATTACTTTGATATTTTCCTTCCACGCTTGCTAACATTATTTTTGTACTTACCCGATCTATTTGTTTATTATACTTTTGTTACATCTACAAATATTGCATTAACTTCCAATAATCATTTCAAACGCATTAGAAAAACTAATCACTTCCAAGGCAACRGAACCTGTTGCTTTTGGGGTTTTGTTAGATTTAAACGCTTCCTTGAAGAGTTAGTTGATTCACTTTAGATATGTGCATTCGGCAAACCTCTTCTTAAAGCTTCAGGACAACTGCTGTGGCGTTAATAGCTCTGGTCGGCCTGGTGTTAACTGGATCTCAGGGACCGCTACAGCTTATCATCTGTACAGTCAATACTGAGCTTCTCTCGGACAGGGAGCATTAAAGAACCCAAAGGGGACACAACAGTGACTTTAATTGTAAATCAAGGTCGTGCRGTAACGAACTTGCCCAGGAACGAGGGCAGGAGGAAAGCAGGCAGAGGGAAGCCCCTCCAAGCAGGGTGGCCRTGTTCCTCCTGGAAAACTGCATCCATCCTGGCCCACTTGGCATTTGCTAATGCCAGATGCATCTGAAATGGTTTGATTTCATACTGCTCCACACTATTGCACAGCTCGTTCAGCTGTGACCAAAATATCCTCTGCATGAGTATGTACACACACTTTATATATATTTGCACACATATATACAGTGTGGATGCGTTTCTGTACACATGTGTGTATATAAATATAATTTCACAATATAAAGCTTTGCAGCATGCACTCTGCAGTACTTTTGTTTTAAACAATTGTGCAACATAGCTTTATACAGGCTAGAGTACATGTAAAAACTCAAATTCAATATTCGAGTGTCAAGGTGGAGGCAGATTCACACACACTCCTGCATGTCCTCACGCCAACAGGCATGGAAAACTAGGAAGCGCGGCACTCCGGAGCCGAGCTGCTGRGTATGGCACCAACACGGCACGGGACCACCAAAGTGCCCGTGCTGAAGTAAACCAAGAGGCTGCCAGAGCACCCGTGGGCCGCGCAATCTCAGAATTCAATTGTTATTAAAGGGGGCAAAAAAATAAAACGATAGCTTGGAGTACGGACTGTAAAGCTCACATTCTTACTCGATGCCAAGCTTCTAGCCATAAGAAGTGTCTCATGTGAACTGCCAGGACTATACACGTGCTATTTAGCTCTGCTAGGAGTACTATGGCCTTGAGGAGCAGCGAAATGGAAGGAGGCCCATGGAGAGGGAGCCAAAGCCGCTCGCAGGGGCTGCGGGCAGCGCTCGGGGTTCGCTCCTCTGCGAGYCAAGGCCTAAGGGCGGAACCGACCTCCAGGCAATCGGGCTGGAAAGGCCAACTGGGAGTCACAGCAACGCAAAAACCCCGCGGGACCATTAACTCCTCCTCTCTTCTGGGCACTAAGTGAAGGGGAAAGCCCTGCACGCTGACACCTTCTCAGAACCACCTCAAAAGCCCTTCCAAAGACGGAGGGGCAAGTTGTGCACTTTCATCTCCCTCTGATAATGCAACCTCCTCCAAGGCCTGAGTTGGCAACCTCAACAGCAGGCACATGATACAAAGGGACAACCACTCCCATAGCAATGGCTCCTTATTGCTCCCTCTATACATGCAACTAAAAGAGGAGCCCTTCAAATCCAGGCAGTGCTGGCGTGCTTCCCCGGAGCCACGGCCAAACCTGCCCAGCGCCACCGAGCGYGTCGAGTCCCACGGGCTGCTGTCAGCGGAGCCTGTGAGGACACCCACACACTGAACGCAGCCGGCCTTGCTCCGTAATGGAATCAACAACTTGGCATGTAGGTTAAAGCAATTACCATCAGCATTAGCAGGGGTCAACAGGGGATAGAAAGAGATTACCTTTAGCCAGCCTGAAGGTCTCGAAAGATCTGCAAGAGACCCTCTCTTCTGCTTTCCTGCTCGAGCGTGATAGGAAAACTGACAGTAAGCTAGCCGAATTCTCCCAAATCCATGGAATTGGCCGAGTCTGGGCTCGTATGGAAATAACGCAAYTGGGAGATGTGCTGCCCTAGGGAGGGCAAGTACCAAAACAGGGAGCAACCGGCAAACTGCGTGTCAAGCAGCAGCAGACACYGGCACYGCTCCTCTCCTCSTCCATCCTCCTCCTCCACCACCATCACCTCCACCAACCTCAAAACGTTCAGCTAACCTACTTCGTGTGAGCATGAAACTGTGGAGATTCAAGAGAACAGCTTATTCGAGAACCRGGGTAATCCAGAACACAACTTTACGCATGGTAAAGAAGTTTCCAGCGTCAAGGATGCATCTGATAAGCAAAGACAAGTTCTCAACTGGCTCTGGTTAATCTCCTGGTACTCAAAAAAGAAATTCCGGTGGAGCTCCTGTGACACCGCAAGTTCAGACTGCAATAGACAAAAACTTCAAGTCAATCCCTTAAGCCCTTATGCCAAATTAAGAGTCTCTTAAAACAGTTTCCAGGTGCTGAACTGCACAAAGGGCCCCGTCGCAGGGCCTGAAGGCACCTAAGCCGCTGCCGCGCTCCTCAGCCCGCTCCGTCCTTCCGAGCAACGCGGAGCCGCCGCGCAGCACAGGGGCTGCTGCCCAGGAATGGAGCGGTGCAAACCCTGCCAGTGCCAACGGGTGAGTCACGCCTCGGGGAGGAAGAGGAAGGCAACAGAAGGAGCTCCCATTTAGACGCTTTGAACAGAAACAGACTTAATCAAGGTGCAGGATCGTGAAGGATGTTACTCATGCAGAAGCACCACCCGATAGAAATGAGAAGGAAGCTCAAGGAATTCACTGCTCCATTATGTTGGAGCAGGCAACTCACAGCTGGGCAACATAAGCCAAGTGACCCAGCCAAGCCAAGCCCCTATCCTGGCTTAATCACATCTTCTGCGTTGGAGGGTCAACTGTTCTCCATCAGAGGGCATAAACCATCTCCCAGAGTCTGCACACAGCACTTGCTTCCTCTGACTCACTAACTACAGCTCTGGGACTTGGCAAACCRGTGGGTTGACCTACGTAGGAAGTCCTAAATTCCTAAGCAAAGCGCATGAAACAAAAGGCCCAAAGCAATTAAAGAGGGGTTCTAAAGATTGCACGGCGTTCATGCTATTGTCCCGCTGTCCAACTCGGCCAAGGAGCCCTTCCTGCACACACTGTGGCTCCGGCTCACCAGACCTCWACAGGACGTTAAGGACCTGCCAGTAACAAAACACGGTCGCCACCAACCCCTCTGCCGCCTCAAAGCCTCTACGTTGCTTTTTATAACCCAGAACATTTGAATAAGACATGAGCAACAAAACAGAAAATCAGAGGAAAGCCAAGAGGCAGCAACTCATCATACTTACATAACTGTATTGTCATCAACTAAGATATCACAGCCATGAGCAGGACATGAAATAGTCTGAAAAAAGAAGAGGGAAAAAATAAAAGGTCATAAAAGGAACAGTGTTCATTCGATTTTGCATCACAAGTMAGTCTGAGGCCACAGACTTTGCTAAACCCCACAGCAAGAGCAGTCACATGGGCCGCGCCGTCACCCATCGGCGGCCCAGATGCACCACTGTGCASAGCATGTTGTCCCCACCCGGAGCACGGATGCACACGCACATTCCCTGCAGCTCCTTTCACAGGCGGCAGCTGCACAGAATCTGCTCTCCAAAACCCCTCTTTGGTTGTGTTTTAGTAGAGAAGAATCTTCTCTTTTCTTCCCTCCAATTAACAAGCTTCTCCCCCCAAATACAGGTGAGTTGAGGCTTTACCTGTCCCATGCCTTCTTCCATTATTTTGGTAGTTAAATATTCACTCCAGCACTGCATACAGAACTTGTGTCCACACTCTAGGCCAGTAAAGTACTGCAACGACACAGAAGGAGACACAGGGCATCATTTCATCGCGTGGAACTGCGGCATCGTTGGYTCCTTCTCGGTGCGGGGTGATTTTATCACACCGCTTGTCCCTCCACACCACATCTGAGACCTGTTCCCTCTGCACGACCACCACGGAGCGCTGCTGCAGCAGCGTGAAACGTGCTTCAAGGACAGGCTTTACTCCCCTAACAGCACAGAAAAGGTGGCCAAAATTTCCATCCTGCCTGCCCATTCAAACCTACCTTTATTTTCTGAGCGTGTACGTTGCTTAACGTGGTTCTCTCCTGTTTCACCCTTACACATGCATAATAATAATAATAATAATAAAGCAATGTCAYGAGACAGGTCACAGTACCAGGATGACACTCGGCCTTGTTTCCTCGTGTTCTGCCACTTGGCTCATTCCCACCCACGGGTGCTGCCTGTAAATCCCAACACATCTGCCGACCTCTGAGGAGCCACGCGCAGAGTTTGCCAACCCGCCCCGCCAGAAAACCCCGATGAAGAGGCAAAAGATGCTAATTGGCAGGTGCCAATCAGCGAATTAAACCTGGTAATAAACAGCTGGTTGCAGACAGCAACAAGGGCAGCTTCATCTGCGTATGCATCATCTCGTGAACTGTGTCAAGAGGCCACCTGCGACCGACTGGTTGCACAAGGGGTGGAGAAGCAGACACCGAAGGGCAAAGACTGAAATGAAATTGCCTTTCTTCGTTTTTCACACTTGCTTATTCTTAGCCAGTAAGAAAAAACAAGGACATCACCCYGAGATGCCATGATCCTACATGAAACTACACAAACTACTGCAGAACAGCCTGAAACAGCAGCAGGATGGCATCAATCAGAAAAAAAGACAGTTGGATTCAAGGAAAAAGAAGTTATCTGCTAAAATCTGCCAAAATTGGCTGTTGTGGAGACTCGGGATTACAGCCATAATCCAGCTGGAAGGCGGCACRAGTGCTCCCCGAAAGGAGGGCTCCTCCGCACGCCATGGGAGCCAGTCCTGGACAAGGGCATCGTGCCTTGAACCTGCCCACTCCTGCAGCGAGGGAAACAGCACAGAGCAGGAAAAATAAAACACACGCGGGGTCATCGCGTACCTTCAGCGAGTTCAGTCTGTGCAGGCAGTGAAAAGGCTGCCTACAAGCCCAAGCAGAGGGCAGCCGCCACGCGTCCGGGCTGGCTGCTGCCTGCGCAGACCCCTCCAGAAGGTGAATCCTCAAGCACCCGGCACTCCTGCAGTGCTTTCACAGCGTGAAATCTCTCAACAGGACACTTGCTAACTCCCAGACTGCTAAAGGCTGAAAGGAGCTCTCAAGACCCTCTGGGAAAGAAGGAAAAGCTCAGCAAAGCAAAAATACTTTAAAAGATTTTAAAAACTGAGATGCTAGATTAAGTATTTAATACAACTATCCCTACAATTTCCGATTCACATCAACCCAAACAGCTTCAATACAGCTTTCAAACCACATGGCTCCTGGTCACCTTAGACACAGAGTAACTACAGCCTTTTCCAGAAGAGATCCGGAATATCAGCCTTTCTATACRTTCCAGCTTATGGCAAAGAAACCCAGCTGCCCTCAGTTGCCTCTTGACTCAGGTGCAACATCTCATCATCCCAGCTTCAGAAATTGCTCTCCGAGCGTTTGGGCCACCACCATTTCATACATTTGAGTTCCCTCCAGCAGCCACAAAGCTGCTTCCCAGTCAGCACTGGTACCCATGGCCCCAAGGAAAGGCCCGTTGGCCACGAGCCGTTGGGCTTCCACTYCCAACTCCGCTTGGAGGAGCCTTTAGCATCAATAGGAGCTTATGAAAATGTAGAAGAAACACAGGTTGCTTCCAAACATCTGCTCGGAAGCAGCCRGAGCTGGAGAGAAGCCAGGAGGMGGCAGGAGCCTGCTGTGTGCAATGCCTTTTAGGTGCTCTATATGTCACTCATCACCACCCCCACGGCAGGAGTAAATAAATTTCTATCCTGCCACCATCTGCAGGGGATGTAGTGGGGTCTACAGAGCAGAAAGGAGAAGCAGATGAGCAAGTATTAAAGCAAATATGTCAGTCTAGGACACAAATGCATTTTATGTTCCTAAGGGCAATTTTGAGAAGGTATCGGACAGGTATCAAACCTAAATGAGAATTTTCCAAACAATCTCTTCTGTAGATGGATATTACAATACTGAAAATGCCTCAACTCGTGCTTTAACGCACAGAGGAGGCAATTCCTGCTTCCACTTTTCTACTAATCAGAGTTTCTTCTGGAATCTCCCACCACAATGTCCTTCCCTAGAAGCACACAGCTGTGAGCTGCCTGTAAGGGACACAGCAGCAGCCTGTCTCTCCCATCAGCACATCTACAGCTTACCTGCTACAAGTGTCCATGGAAAAGCAGCACCACCACCAACCCTGCCACAAGCCAGCAGGCCGAGCTAGAGCCCCAGCAAGCCCTTCTACCCTCATATCTGTACCCAGTTAGAGACAGGACAGACTTACCCATTGGTTCTGTTTCCTGAACAGCTCAACTTTATTTTACCCAGTCCCACTTAGTTTTACCCTGAACTTGACTGCTTGACTATTTTGCACCATTATTTACTTCCTTTATAAGCAGCTTCCTGTCTTCTCATTCTGCTCGAGTAAATCCCTTAGTCTCTCAAGGTTTGCCCACTTATTTATTTTCTGTCATGTATCATTTGGTTATGTGTCTCAGTGGGTCTCTGACGGACTTAAAACTCACTTGATCTACTGGTCCCTTTTCCTACATAACTTCACTTCCCTGCTGCCCAGCACCCCCAAAGGTCTCTGCAGAAAGGATAACCATTTCCTTGGAAATAAAATCTCATCTCTGGGTACTCGAATGTTGCTTGAGGTACTTTCTGGGGGGAAAGCAGGGCTTTTTTTTAAAAGGTTTGGCGAGTTGACTTTGTCCACGCAAGGAGCAAAGTAAGCGCACGAAGCACCGTGCAGGTCTGTGGCCTCCCCTGCGCTTTTTTGATCAGCTGAAGCCCACAAAGCTGCTGTGGTGAAAAAACAGAACCTTTATCCCCTCCCGCTCCCCTTCTGTTAAACACACACCCTACAGATTAGAAGAATCAATCAACAAATGAAACCTCAGCTTCTTCTTAAAGGCTTTTTAGAATATTAAAGGATCAGCCTTCATAGAGGCACCCACAAGTACTGAGGGACGTTTCGGAGAGGAAAATACAGATGGTTTTCACTGAAAACACAGCCGTGGCTGCCGGGTACTCACCGAGTTTGGGTAGTTCAGGTAGCAGATCTGACAAGGCATATCCTGGGCCGACGACCTTGTGTTCATCTGGCGCGTCCGGGACTTTTTACTGGGGTTAATGACGTGACACTCTGCAAAGAGCTTCTCCAGGTTGCCGTCGAAGTACCTGCACGATGCGCATCGAGAGCACAAATTTAACCACCCTGTCCACAAGTCTTTTTTCAAACTCTGTTCAGGAATTAAATACATACAGTTGGAGGAGAAACTTTATAAAACTCACATACTCTCTACTTTTAACACACTCTTCAACCAACATATCGCACCATGGTCCTGAATACACAGGAGGATATTAGGGTTTTTTTTCCCCCCTCCAAGATATTTGGGCTCAAATTGGGTGCTCCTTTTCCTTTTTCCCCAGCCTAGGAATCTAGATCCTTTCCCGAAGTGCAGCCTACATGTCACCAGGTCTCATTTCAGCTTAAGTCTTCCATTTTTTGCAAATACTCTAATTGCTACAACATGAAAGAGGCGGCTGACGGCAGCACTTTGAGCCCCGGATCGTGAATCAGCGTGTCCCTAGTTACCAAGTTTTGTGTTTTCAGTTTACATTAGGTGTGCCCCAAAGAGCTGACTGGAGGCCAGTTGTCTCCAACAGGACTTTTATTTTAGCACTTCCTTCCTTGCTCTCCRGAGCAGGGTGCACTCGTGTCCAGTTCCAAAGCAACTGCAGGGCTGCATTTCTCCAAGTTAAGACAACTGCAGAGCTGCATTTCTGATTAAGCACCTCGAGTCTGAGGAAAGTTGCTGATATATTAGGTACCTGAGCTCTGCTTAGGCCAGTTTTCAATTTAAGGCTGCAGCGGAACGAATGCACAGCCAACCTCATGGGCCAAATCCTGACCTTCCGAGCACCTTTCTGTCTCCAATTAGCAACATTCCCGCAAGCCCCTAAGAACAGACAATTCCAAGGTTGCAGATTTGGGAGCGCTGTGCGTGGGCAGCACGCAGGCACYGCAGCTTCCCCCAGGCCGCAGCAATTGCCAAGGGCTGATGGACCACAACGGCTCGGGAGCCCCCGCCGCAGYGGGGCTCCAGACCTTCCCCCCGCCGCCCCTCCGCCAGCATCTTCCCCAATTTCAGTCCACATCAGAGCGCAAGCGCCTGGAAAAAAGGGAACATCTGACCGCAGTGCAGTCAGCTATGTTTAAGGCCGCAAATCAGGTCCCAGGCAGCGCCGAGATTAACGTCTTTCTGTTGGGGAAGGAAGATCTCTCTCCAAAACCTGGGAGCAGCAACATGCACAGCACGTAACGCAGCTGCCTCCTGCAAGTCGTGCCCAGATGTGCCCCAGACAAGGGGTCCTGCTGCTTCCGAAGTTTCTCAGTGCAGCTGACCCCTCCTGAACCAACCTCGTATGCGCTGGGTCCTCCTTTGCAGGTCACTCGGCTCCGAAGCTGGCACTAAATTCTGGAATGCCCTAGGGTTTGGCCACTCTTCTTCAATGTTAGTTCACCACTCACCCAAAATATTTTGTTTGCTTCGGAAGGGCTTCTATCTACAAACCTCTGAGAGTAAGTGTGGAGCACTCCCATTATAGGCACTCTTTGTCTACTAAAGAGTCATGGATAAATATTTAACTCCACAAAAGGTTTCCCCGCAGGCCAAGCGTTCTCACCATCCGCACCATAGAGCCTCAGCTCAAAACAGTAGACGAATAGCGGGGTGTGACGTTTGCAAAGAAAATAAAGGCTACTGAAGACAAATCCTATGGTGCAACTTCAACGCCAACATTTGCAGTCAACTACACACACATGAAAATATCAGAGCTCTTTTTAATGGCGAGCTAACATTAAAGCGCACAGGTTGCATCAGGAACATGACTTCCCCCCTTGCATTAGGCCATAAAATCCCTGCAAAAGCCACTCTTTTGAGCCAGGCACTTCCAGCTCGAGACCAGGAAACACAGACAGTCACAAACAACAGTTTTGCACCTGCAATCACCCACGCCTTCTAAATACCAATGGACACCTAACTCACAACACTCAGGTTCCTCCCAGACTTTCAGGATTTTCGCAATAAAGACAGAGAAAATACTCATAAACAGTACCAGTTTCTGAGGGAGGCACGACAGTGCCCCATTTAGGGCCTGCAAGCCGTTTTCTTTCATTTATTCTTTCATTTCGTTTCTTCAGTGAAGAAATTCTACCATTTATTTCATTCTCTCATTTATCTCTACAGTGAGCCTGGCTGCACTGAGAAAATAGTTTCCACAACTGTTTGCACACACGTCTCAGACTCGAAACAAAAAAATCACACTGAAATGTGTGTTGAGAAAACAAAAATAAAAGCTACCTGGGCAAACAAGTGAAAGGGACACCCGGGAGTGAAGTCCAACACGGTCCCTCACAGAGCTGCCCCACCGTGCCCTAGATAAACACACAGCTCCCGGCCGATCCTCTTCCTGCTCCTGCAACGCTTGGGAATCACAGTTTCCAACAGGGACCATCGTGTTGAGCAYGGGAACATCTCCCTCTGCCTCTCCCCACACTCCCTTCCGAGGGGCGTGCACAGAGGAAACCCTCCTCCTCCTCACCTCTCCTCATCAGGATGGAGCAGGTCAGCTCCCACCTCCTTCCCCATCTGCCCACATCCTCAGCCATCCCAGCAAACCTCAGCTGCTCCTTCCCACTTCCATTCCTCCTCTTCCCCCCGGGGAAGTCAGAACACGGCAGATCCAGAAGGATTTCACAAGGACCTTGTACAGCTCTACGGATACCTCTCCATTTCTCCTGGAGAGCTCTCACCTCAGGCATCCTAAATGATGCTGCATTTCTCCAGAGGCCGGTCCCTGTTTCAAAGTACTTCCACACACGCTGTGCTAACCCCTGCCCCCACCTTCCCTCTCCTCTCCACGCAGGCCATAAGGCAAAAATCACTTCTAAATGAAGCCAGKGGGTTAATTTTGGTTTTACTGCTTAGTCTCTAGCTTCTCTTTACTGTAGACTCTTTCTCCTCCCCACAGTCTCACTCTTTTGGCTGAAGAAGCTCTACAAAGTGCTGAGCTTGGCTTTTGCCTATTCTCACCCCCTTGCCGCAGCGCTGGCTCTTACAGGGTTGCTCCTGGGTTSTGAAGTCCCTCCTTCTCATCTTGGGGAGAAGAGAACATTTCCAAAATTATTATTCTTCATCCAGAGAGACGTGACATTAAATCTCTCATGCTCCTCCTTCCCCCTTTGTGCTGCAGATATTGAATAGCTTTAGGACTTCTGATATTCAAGAAAAGTTATGGTCCATTCAACATCAGAGTCTTTTTGCTCGATACAGCCAAGCTCAGTAACCAGTTTCATTAATTTATCAAAGTTCTTTTATTTTCCATTGCAGATCATGGTGCTGGTTTCTGCTACTTAAGCTCAATAGCTCAACAGAAGTGAAAACTGTTCTCAAATTCTTATAATTTCTCCAGTGACCACCCAAACCAAGWCCAGAGCAGCATCAGGTCTTGTTAGCTGAGGGAGGCAGCTTTTTGTTTTAAGATGGTCTTGGTCTCAGGGACACTACTGGCTAATAACTTACCTGTCTAATGACCATTTCCCAGCCACAATCAAATCCCATCCAAGGGAATATCACAAACAAAAACCCTCCTCACTGAAAAGAAGGCGGTTTCCAGCATCCCGCCAGGAAGCTTCCCTTAGCGAAAGCAATTCCGGACGCGAGCGCATCACTCCGCTCGCTGTGCTCGAGGAGGAGATTCCCTCTCCGCAGCAGAGRGCAGCTCCGTGGCACATCTCATCACACGGAGTGCAGCTCCCACACGCCCAACGGAAAGGAGCAAGTCGGGTAGCTAGAGAGGARCCGATTCAAGGGCAAGAGGGAATCTAGGGCAGCAACGGCGCCCAAAGGGCATTCCCAGGCTCCCTGCTCTCTGCCAGAGCACCTGGACGTGCACCCATGGAGATAAGTACCCACAGGAGGCTGCAGCTCTACTTCAGTATCTTTCTACACCTCARCGTGATTAAATGGGGCCTCTGGTTACACACTGGACTACCTTTCTTCTGAGCAATGCTCAGAGGGAGCCTCCTTCCACGTGACGCAGGGGAGCCGCATTTCGGTCTGTGCAGCACGCAGAGGTCCAACGCATGCATCACATCGGGCACTAGCAGCTGAACTCCGGCCTTTCCCCCAGTACCTGCTTCTGTCCTCCCAGTAAATCCAGGCCAACACACCGGCCTCGCTTCCAAACACAGCCAAATAGCTAGTGCCTCACCGGTGGGCAGAACGTTTTTCCCGCTGTGGATGTTGTTTCAAGTGGAGGTGAAACACACACCTGTAACATATTTGGCCTCTTAATAACTCCATGCAATTAGCCCACGGCAGAGCTGTCACAGGCAAAAATAAGCTGCTCTTCAAAAATGAGCAGAACAAGACAGAATTGCAACTGAGAGGTTTCCATGTTTTAAAATAGGGAAGCTTTCATCTCACACTCAGACCAGCAGCTCTCACCACATATCGAAAACGAAGCCCATCAATTTATTTGCTGTCCCAGAGGCAGCGCTCGATAAGGCAGCCTGTTGGGTCACGCCGACTCACGCTGAACTAAGGTAAAAGAGGGGTGGGTTTGGCCTGCAAAGAAATGCCACTGRGCAGCTGAGCTCAAGCTCCGACTTGGTAGGCAATCAAGCACCAAATCTTGCACCAAATTTTGTACCTCAGCAAGCACTAAACTGCTCCACACCGCAGGCAACATCAGCAATGCGCTGGGAAGGCTTCCTGGAGATGATGAGGAGTAAGAGAGGCCAAAGATATACCAGTTAAACGTGTCTAAAATAATAAACCCCCCAGAGGGGAAAAAAACAGTTAAAGAAGTCTCCAGTCTGTTGCAGACTCTGCAGTAGCAAACAACAGGCTGCAGATCTCAGACTGAAGGGTGAAGACCAGGTGAGTGGCTACTGATTCTAAGTTTTGGGTTGCTTTGACGTGTTTGAAATATCTTTTTTTTTCCCTTTCCTTTCAAACAGAGCAAGCCCCTGCAGCTCCCCCTGAAAGCTTTGCAACCAGCTCATTCCTCAGCTCCTCCACAGCAGCACAGCCCTGCTCTAACACTCGCTGCAGGCACACAAAGCAAGCGAGGCTCAGGAGGGCCCTCTGTTTTTGGAAGGTCAGGTCCATCCCTGGGCTTCACCAGCTGGACACCTTCTTGCCAGTGGAAACCGCTCTCTAAATGGCCCAGTTTTCAGGGAGCAGATGCCGTTGCCCCCTCAGCTCTCCCGCCGCCCAGCCTGGCTACCAAGACTTCTGGCCGGCTACTTGGCAAAGGGATGGCTCCAGAGGAGCTAACTGAAGAGGTTTTTTTGCATGTTTTGCTAGAACAACAGAGCATCGGCAGCACAAACCCCACAGGTGTGCCACAGTTGTGTAGCAAGGGTCACTTGCAACATCCCCCACAGGGATAATGCTATAGAATTAAGATAAGTGTTCTAATGAACATGTGCTGAGAACTACTGTTTACCTGTTGATTTTGTAAATATTTACATATATTTAAGATGTTTCTGTTGGAAACTGTAAAGCCTTTTAACAGTAATGCCTCACACAGAAGCAGCTAATATCCCCCTCTTTGAAAAAGAAACCAAAGCTTTTTTTTTTCTTTTTTTTTTTTTTTAATTAGTACCAGTCTTAACAAGCAAAGATTTAAGTGAGAAGGGCAAAAAGCCTCTTGTGTAAAGAGGTCAAATTCCAGTACCTCGATGTCAAGGTACCCTGAAGCGAGATGGAGACAGCAAACAAGAGGAAACTTCAACGTGACCAAAAGCAGCAGCACCAGAACCTCACGGAGCAGACAGCGGTCATGCCCAGGGAACGAAAGCCATGTGCTTAACAGCTGAATCAAAGCTAAATAACTTTGTTGTCCCCACAACAAGAAGCCTTCAGGYACCTCTAGTGTTAACTAATTGAGGCCATTAATCTATGGAAAATAGAAGCGCAAACCTTTTTTTCTTTTAAATCCTATCAGTTCAGAAGAAAATCTAGGTCAAGCAAAACCTAAAAGATACCCAAGCTCCATGAGGACCCGGAAACCCTGCACAGGAGCGGGCAAAGACGGCATTAACCCCCTGCCTTGAGGAAATTCCTCAACTGCAAAGTCATCCGGGAGCATTTGCTGCTCCTCTACCCTGGTGAAAGCAGCTGCCACAGACAGGCCAGGCAAGGACCGGCCCCAACCCACAGCAGAGAACATTTATCAGCTGTTAATTAATATTTATTGAGCTAACAATACTATCAAAGTCTGTCTCTGCACAAGCTTTTATAGATTAAACATCCCAGCTTCTCCTACCATGGTCACCAAGCAGGGAAATAACAACCACAAAGACTGAATGAAGAAGGCAGCCCCCGAGACATGGTCCTGCTGCCCTCCCACCACGTCTGTGTCCCTCGGCCCCTTGGGTCAGCAAAGCCTCACAAATCAAAGGCATTGCATTAAAACCAACTTCTTGCTCTTGCTTTCTGCTGCTTCTAAGCCAGGCTAATGCTCCCATCCAGGTTTTCAGGAGTAATTTCTCCTCCACAACTCCGGGGTAATAAAAGAAAGAAAGCAAAAAGGAAGTAGGGCCCGTTGTAAGTGTAGCAAACTATCAAATGTATCTTCACCAGCAACCCGCTGCGAGAATGAAGATTCAAAGAGGAAAAGCAGGGGCAAAACGCACTGCTGGAAGGGAGMAGGAAGGCACAATTCAAGCCACTATTTACACCCAAACTAAAATCCAGGGCTGCAATGGTGAAGCCCAAGACAACTTCCAAAGCTCCTTTGAAGCCTAATAAGCATCGTTACTATTAAAAYGAGGAGTTGCTCTTGAGCCCGAAAGGCTGCTAAGGGCTGGGGGGAGCACCTGGAGCTCTCCCGCACCCTGCACGTTCTCCCACTGTCACCACCAGCGCTTCTTGCAGGCCTGCAGTGCTGCTGCGGGCTAAGATGGCTCTTACCTCTCCATGAGCTTCTCCTTGTCCCAGTTGAAATGGCTAAGCAGTATCCGAGTGATAGTCGCTGGATTCTGGAGGGGAGAAAGGAGGAGACAATTAGGAGCAAGGGAGTAAAAGGCTGACGAAGCTGCTGTGCTGTTATGGGCACCCCAGGCACTTGGGGCAGCCAGTGCACAAGACAACGCACATTGTCCACATGGACCACATAACGTAACACTGGAAAACAGTTTATCACGTAGCAGGCAATAAAAATTAGGAACCACTCTATAGAGCAGAAGAGCTCTATAGAGCGGGGAAGGGCTCAAGAGTCAGGGAATCCGAGAAGAGAAACAGACCAAATCACGGAGCATCCCCACAGGCACCAAGCGCATCCCACCTCCCTAATCCAAACCCTCTCCCTGGGGCCCGAGCACGTCCCCGCTGGGGCCGGGGCCGGCTGACACGCGCGTCCGCTGCCATCTGACACCAACAGGGACGTTGGCCGCGAGGCGAATTTTCCACGGACACCGTGAAGCCGATGAAAAGTAGGACATAACAGAGCGAGGCAATTTGCGGGGCCCCCGGGCTACAGCTACAGCTTCCAGCTGCCAAAAAAGCCACTGCTGCCCCCGAAGCAGCCGTCCCTGCCCTGAGCCCRCTCGCTGCCCCCTTTCCTCACCCTCCCGCTAGCACAGCTGCTTTATGCTAAACCCTGCAAACTACACGCTCCAAAACCGAGCTTTACCTCCTCCTTCTCAACACTGCTTTCCTCCCGAGCCGGTTCCCCAGTYGGCTCCATGTGCGGCCGCAGTAGCACGAGGGGGAAGGCAAAAGAGGCAGTCGGAGACGAGCGGGATGGTGGGTCTGGGCAGGAAACAGCATCAAAACCTCTGCTGATCCCGAGCCCGGGGCCAGTGGGCACCATGAAGGAGCCTCGTGGTTTCTGCTTCGCAGGGCAACGCTCCTCTCCCCTCCGCAGCGCGCTCTTACCCTTCCCAACGCCAAGGCAGCTCGCACAGCGGGACACAAAGGCATTTTGGCAGCTTCCAACTTGGGCAGCCCCACAATTAGAGCAGCATCATTTTCTGCAACAAGCCTTGCCTCGAACCGAACACCCRGAGTTTCACCCATAGGCTTCCCTGGCTAATCCTCCGGGCACCCTCCCATGTTCATCCAGGGATACGGTCCCGTGCCCAGCTCCTGAGACACGCCGGCTCCACAAAGAGGTTGCGGGCAACGGTGCAAGCGGCTCATCTTGAGCATGAGGATGCTCTGCTCGGAGCAGGGAGGCTGCTCCAGAGACGGGCCAGGAGGACGCACAAGAAACCTGCATTTTCTTTAATTCTCAAGCAACAGCATTAAAGTTTCTATTAGCCCAAAGTCCTGCCTGCCTTCTCGCTGGGCACCTTCTAGGCAGCCGGCTCGGCCACTGCATTAACGCAATACCTACTGAGGTAGCGACCTGTCACAGGGATGTTTGGGTTTTTTAAGCAAGAAAGTAGAAACGCAACTCATGCTGGAGAAAAGGGCACATTAAAGGAAGGAAACTGCTCTGCAGCGACCGCCGGGAGCCCCAGGGCTCCCCGAAGGGCAGCGGCTGCAGCAAGAGGCTCTGCTTTCGTCAGCGGCTTCTGCGCTTGGCCGGGAAGCAGCCGCCACGCAGCTCTGCCAGACCTGTCTCTACATTAAGAGCCCCTAAASGTCCCAGCAGAGCCACGGGAGAAGATTAGCTTTGTTCTGTGTAGGGGAGGTGCAAGGTAGCCTGTCACGCCAGGCTTACGCTTCAGAGCCCGGTGCTGCTAGTTCAGTGCATGGAGACAAATAATGTCACAAGAGGGGAAGCTTCTGTCGCCTTCCTGGGCTCTGGCCTCCTCGAGCCGCAGCAGGACCTGTGCAATGTCCATTCACTGCGAGCAGGGAGAAGCTCCCGCCGGCTCCGTCACGAGGCTGCTCCTCGCCTCRCGGCCACACTCCAGACACCACCAAAATAGCCTGACCTTTCAGCCTCCGGCTGGGGGCTAACCCGGCCGCCGCTGCCCCACGGCGCAGCACAGGCACGAGCTGGGAAGCCCCGGGGAGGGCTTGGTCCCACCTGCGCCCGCCGCTGCAGCCCGGAGATGGGTGCAAAGGGGTGGCACAGCCGAGACTGTCACTCCGAGAGCAAGGAACCCGCTTTTTGCAAGGGGTACTTTCTGTTTACAGGAAAATTAATAATAATAATCATAATAAGCAAAGCAGCCAGATGGTAAGCCGGGAAAAAGCGCTCTCAAAYGTCCAGCCTCCACTCCAGTGTGCTTTGGTGAGAGCTGGAGCGGAGGAGCTGCTTTACAGCTCCATGTCACACAGCCCAGGMGAAGAGCGCCGGGAGCTCGAGGCTCCACCGCCTGTTGCTATCCAGACAGAAGCRCAAGCCGGGAAAAGCAGCCATTTTGTGGGAATTCTCTGCCTGCAGAGCCRGTGCTTCACCAGGGATTTCCTCGGCGAGCAAAGCAGCTAAGCGCCCATCTGCTCCCAGCACGTTCTGCTCACCGGCTACTTTGCAGCGGGGATGTTTACATTTGTTGCTGCTACCTACAGCATCGCACTCGGGCGCAGCGGGGCCAGCGTTGAGACAGAGGCCCAGGAAAACCCTGGAAAGGTTCGGGAAGGAGATGTGCACGTCTTACTTCAGCACATAACCCTGCGCCAGAGGAGGAAACAAACCAAATTGCATCATGCGGTGCAACGTCCTCAAGCTGGAAGCTTAGGTACAAGCATTCCAGTTCGATCAGGTTCTTTCTGCCCCCAAAACAGGAGCGTACGGATTGGAGGGAGGCACCTGGACGCGCACAAGCCCTCTAAGTGATTTAAGGCTTAAGGATTAGTGGGACRTTAGCTCAAAGGGGAGGTTCAAGCAGCGGAACTTGCAGCACGGCCGTTGGCAGCACCCCATCCGTCAGCGTTTCCCACTTTGCAGATGAGCTCGGCGCTTCATTCCCGCCTTTACGGCGGCCAGAAGGGCGCTGCCGAGCGCAGCCTCCGCCGGGCGCCCCAGCCGCCCAACGCCAGCGTGCGCCGCAGGTTGAACCGCTCCCTAACAACCCACGYGCCGCTCTCAGCTGGGCCCTTCCCACCTCCCTGACAGCTGGCGCTCACACAGGCATCATTTTGCAGCTTCCYGTTGCACAGTTTGGATTTTCCTCTTGCAGTGGGATAAGCAGCGCCGTTCCCGGGACATCGGGTGGCTGGGAAGCTGGATCAGATGCGCTGCCGGGTACGGACAGGGCACAAACATCCGCTGGGCTTGACACGAACTGGTCAGGAACCGAGCGTCCCCATAACTCAAGAAAAGCCCATTTCTCCTCCAGGATGCAGAAAAAGCTGGAGCAGCTTTGGGGCCAAATCACAGGGCAGCGGCGCTGCCACAGCGCGGTTGACCTCGCTCCATGGGTGCGCCGAGTGACCTGCCTTTGTAAAACTCTGCACATCGACGCTTTCAAAAGACCACTACGTAAACCCGACAAACACAGGAACTTATTTCTCCCAGCTTGGCAAAACTGCCCTGATTTCGTCTTCTGCCACYATTTCTAAGTGCTGAGCATCTGCAGGGCCCCATCTGCTGAGGRGGCTACCTTCAAACTTGCTCGATTTTATCCATTCAGACTAGTCACTCTGAGAAGCTGCTGGAAGACCCTAAGGTCCCCCAATATTCCTCGACTTAAGTATAAATAGCATAGAAGAGAGTTACTGTCATCATACACAATGGTGTCTGCTTCAGTGTTGTTCATCTTGGCCTCCTCCAGCCTACTTCATCCCATTAAATGTCCTTCACACACCACYTCTAACTTTGAGGATCAGGATTTACAAAGTTACGGCTTACTACCATCACATTATGGCATAAAAAGGTAGCTTGATAATAATGATCTCTGTTTGTAGTAACCTGCCTGCATTTAACTGGTCCAAGAAACAGAAAGGAGGCAGTCAGCTGCTTTACGTTTCCATTGAGCCTTTTGGAAAGTTTTCAGGTTAATCATTAAGAGCCACGACAAAGAGCTAATGTCTAACAAAGGCTTTAAATCAAGGAAATTACTAAGGTGACAACTCCAGGATGAACCGGCAGATTTGGAAGTGCAAAACTCAATTCAGTGCATTAAGTCTAAATAAATAAAAGCAAACGCACATTCATCAGGGCGCTTCTCGAGCGTTCCGGACAGCCCTGGCTCTCGCGGCACTGCAGAGACTCTGCAGACCCCCAACCCAGCGCCAGTTTAAAAGCTGCCCATGGATCACGGCTGGGGAGGGCATTTGAGACTGTTCCAGCCGTGCTCGCTTCTACACGAGAGCACAGGCTTGACAGCAAGACACAGAGAGCTGTCACCTCATTTCTGCTGAGCAACGTTGCCTCCTGCTTCCTCTTGCTTCGGTTCTTGGGCATGAAGTCAAGCCTTTAAGGAACGACGGCACGGCTTTGGAAACACCGGGAAATGGAGCTGCTTAGGCCACTTTCGATCAAGGAGCGTTCCTGACTGCCCACAAAGGCAGCCTCACCCGGGCTATTAGCCCTTCGGTTGTCTCCCACCAGAAGAAACTTGAGGCAGGCGCCCACACCCAGCAACGTGAAGCACAGCTACAGGCCCCCATGTCTCCCCTGAGCAGCTAAAGCTGACGTTCTGAGAGAGAACTAGAGTGGAAGCACATGAGTGCGAGTACGTTGCAAAAAAACAAGCCATTTTTGCTTTAACCTTCTCTCCTCCTGCCTCCCACTCACGAGTTCACAAAGAGCAGCCTCAAAAGAGTAGGAGAGAGTGATGGCACCATTTCCATATAACTCAATTCACTATTTCAGTAGCTCTTTAGTATCTCCCATTATAGAGGAGGAAAACAGCCCATGACACACCACAGCTACACCAGGAAAGGAAGGATCCTCAAAGCATCTGTGACACCGGAACGTTTTGGCACGTGAAAGACCTGAACATGAAGGACTCACAGGTTCACCTGGTGGGACTCGCATCCTTGGTGAGCACCACCTCTCCTCTCAGGCCAAACCTTTAGTCAACACTCCAAGCCTCACAGTGTTGCTTCTACCTGCACGAGAAACCAATGAGACAACAGA